AAAGTTCGAGAGTTTCTAAAATTTAGCGAATTTTTATTAAATATTTATACGGAACTATAACGCCTAAAGTAAAACTATTAAACGACGCTAACTAAAAAGGATACCGAGTTTAAGTAGGGAGAGAAGTAGGAGTAAGACTTTCCAGATTATTAAAAACGTTATTACGGCGGACCTAATATTTAAGTTTCCCGACCTAAACCGACCTTTCGAGGTCGAAATAAATACCTCCGACTATACTATCGGAAGGCAATTAGGATAACGAAACGAAAATAAAAAGCTATATTTAATAGTATTTTTTTTAAAGAAATTAAAGGAACTATATAAAAATTACCCTATCCACAATAAAAAATTACTTACTATTATTAAGGCCTTCGAAGAATAAAAACTATACTTTAGCGGTACTAACTACGAGGTACAGGTCTATACGGATTATAAAAACTTAAAGTATTTTACTATTACTAAGGTCCTTAACGCTAGGTAAAATAAGTAATTAAAATTCCTATTAGAATTTAATTTTTAAATCCATTATAAAAAAGGATCCGAAAACGCGAGAGTAAATATTTTAAATAGAAAAGCGGATTACTATAAGGAAAAGGTAGCGGAGAAGTTATTACTTTTACTATAGGAAATAATAGAAGGTACGCTAAAGTACCCGCTTTAATAGTAGGCTAAATATTACGTAGTATACCGAAAGAAATCTACTACCTATAAATATTAAAATAATATCGGTAGTAATAATTAAAAACGATAGGCTAAAATAAAACTATTAGGGATTTAAAAGGACGACCGTTACCGGCTCTAGTATAATAATAAGGCCTACGTTAACCTAAAATAACGGAGGATATTAATTTAAAAAATCTACGAATTAAAGTTCGGAGGATATATAAGAGTAGCTAAAACGATAGAAAAGATTAAATAATATTTTAATTAACTAAAATTAAAAAAGGATATAGAAAAGACGTTATAGGAATATAACCTTTATAGGAGAATAAAAGTAAAGAGGTATAAACTATATAGGTTCCTAAAACTATTACTAATAGTAAAGTAACTATAGAGTTCGGTAATAATAAACTTTATTATTAAATTACTAAAATTTAAAGACTTAATTACGGGCGTTAAGTATAATAGTATTTTAACGGTAATCAATAAATTTATTAAATAAACGTATTTCCTGCCCTATAAAGAGACCTAGACGGCAAAATAATTAGCGGATATAGTATTTCGGAACGTTACAGCGATATATATATAGCTAAAGAAGTTTATTACGGATCGCGATACTAAGTTTATATTAAAGTTTTAGAAGGCTTTAATAAAGTAAGTAAGAGTAAAAAGTAAAGCGTCGTTAATATATTATTTATAAACGGACGGCTAAACGGAAAAGCTTAATTAAATTATTAAATAATATTTTCGGAACTATATTAATTTCGAATAAAATAATTAAATTAAACTTTTATTAGTAATATAATTCGTATATAATATAGTATTTACGGAAATAATAAAAATTATATTATTTTTCGCGAATTATAGATTCGAGGCGGATTTACGGTAAAGATTAAAGGTAAGAGTGCCTAGGGCGGTAACGAAAGTAAGGAAGCTATATATACTATATATTAAACTTAAAGAAGAACTTAAGTTCGTTCGGAAATATATACGTAAGTACTATAACATTAAACGGCTCGAGGGACCTCGCTTAAAGAAAGGGGATAAAGTATTTTTTTTAATATAAAATTTACGTATAAAATAATTAAGTAAGAAATTAAACTATAAGAGGGTAAAACCTTTTACGGTCGAAAAAAAAATATCGGAAATAGCTTTTAGGTTTAAACTACTAAATACTATACGGTTATAATTAAATACTTTTTATATTTTACTTTTAGAACCGATATTACGGGACACTAATCCCAATATATAAATAAAAGCCGAAAATAAAAAAAAAAAATATAACGTAAAAAAGGTACTAGATTCGTATATTAATAAAGGATAATTAAAATATTTAATTAATTAATTAAACTATTTAAATACAGATAACTCGTAGGAATTAACTACGAACCTTAATTATTTTAAAAAGTTAAAGGAGTTTTATTAAAGGAACCTTAAACGACTAAAGGTAAGGAATACCGCGGAGAACCGGCTAACGGGGCTAAAAGGAAACCGGGAAGGGCGTAGGGGTCTAGGTTACCCACAGGACTAACACCCGCACTAACGGAGTCTTAAATTAATTAATCCGGGGGGATAGAGGACTAGTCGAAAAATAAGTCGGGGGTAGGAAAGGTAACCTTATTAGCGATCTCTTAACGCTTTAATTCTTCTAGCTCCTCTACGATATTAAGACCCCGAAATATAGTTCGCGATATTTTCTCGAGCTACATTTTTTTTTATTTTCGTAAACGCCGAACTTTCTCGTTCGTAACTTCGGCTTTAACCTTAATTTATTCTCGAATATAATAAGTATTTTTAGCGGTAGCTTTAACTTACGTTTCCGCTAGCTCGAGTTCCGCTTCTATAGCGTCGTATTGAGAGATAATATAGGATAATTAGCGAAGAGTAATCCTAAAGATATTATAGCGCGAGAGACCGCGACGAACGTATTTTAAGTAACGAAAGGATTCGGTAAGCGATACGATATAAAAAAGGTTACGGGTAACGTACGCGGAATAAGGAATTAGTATTACGAAAGGGTAACGTAAGATTCTCGTCGTAAGATCGAAACGGGTTAACGTTAGTAAGCGTTTGGATTTACTTACGTAATTAAATATCGTAGTAGTAAAGAAAGATAAAGAGGAGGACTTATAAGTAAATAAGGTTAGTTATTAGTAAAAGGTTTTAAATAGGGTCGCCGAGATATCGATCTAGGAGGGGAGGTATCGTGTTACGAATATAATATGGATACCCGAAAGGAATAATTAATAGGAAAGAGGAGGTACGGTAGTTAATTAAAGAAAAGGAGGGTAGACTAATAAAAAGTGGATTATCCGGGATATAAAGGAATTATAAGTAATTCCTAGGAATTACTTATAATCCTTAAGAATTAATTATAATCCGAGGAGCAATAGAATAATCTAGGTCTTGGCATTAGATCTATATATACGGAGGAACTAGATAGCTTGTAGATAGTTCCGCAGTATATAATTACAGCTTGTATTTATAGTATTTTGTATTTATATTAAAATATCTTGTTATACACTGTTTAGCTGCACCGAACTAATTATCAAAAGAAGCTTTTAACCGAGTATCCCTTTCAGAGGTTCTGTACAGGGGTTCGTCACAATAAAAAAGGAGAGAAATCTATTAAAGAAATATAGAAAGAAATAAAGATCGGTAATTATTTTAGGAATATAGTTGCCGGAGCGTCGACCTAAAAAGAGGGGTATTATTCTATTATTAACCTAATAGTAGGCCGCGCTATATATAGGGCGTAAGACGTTTCCAATTAATTATTAAGGAAGTTAGGAAGCCGCTAATTAAAGTTAAACGAAAGTACTATAGCGTTAACCCACGAGTACTCTATAGGATATAAGATACTAAGGATAATTAAAAGTATAGTACGACGAGTATATTGCAGGATATAATATACTAAAAGTAATTGGGGCCGTAGTAAAGCGAGTACTTTAAGGTCCGGAGATTTATATATACCGAGGAACTAGCTAATATAGATAAATAGTTCCGCAGTATATAATATAAGTCACAATCGTAATATCTTAGCTATTGTGATTAAGAAATTTTATTGTGCACTGTTTAGCTGTACCGAATTGATTATTAGAAGTTACCTTTAACCAGTATCCCTTTCAGAGGTTCTATATAGGGGTTCGTTATATAAACGGTTAGTTACCTATAGTATCTACGGTATATGGAACGTTAGGGGTTAGTAGCGTGGAAAGTTCTATTAGAAGAGAGATAAAAGAGCGGCTTTTTAAGTCTCTTAAATCCCCTAATATCCCTCGTATAGTTTATTCCAGTCGCCAGGTAGTAGTTAGTATTTTTACGGTTAATTCGAGTATATATACCTAACTTAACTTAATAGTTTTTATTATTTTCTTTATAGAGTGGGCGTTATTCGATGTCACTCGAGCAGTATCTCGCAGCTCAAGCTGGACCGATTTAAACTAAAGCTAGACTTTAGTATCCATAAATCTATTTTCAGCAGTTACCATTCAAATATACTAATAAATTAGGCAATAGTTATACATTTGATAAACCTGCAAAAGGTCCCAAATCTGGAGACAGTCAGCTCTCAGTTCTTCCTTCTTTTTTACGATGGACGCCTTTAGTTACATCCATCGCCTCCTCCGTTTGGTCTCTGTCGTGGACGATAGAGAGGTGACGATATCCTCCATCCCCTCGAGAAATTGCCGCGCTCTTCTGATATTTTGTTCTAGCGTGGTCGTAAAGAAGTCGCTCATATAAATGTGTCGTGCGCCTCGACAGATATTCTCG